GGTAAGCGTCTAGCGGGGCACCACTGTACTTGTGAACAGCGCCTCGACATATGAATGAAAAACAGTTGGAATGAATTAAATGGTTTTCAGTGCATTTCTATGGGAAATTTTGCCTTGGCTTACGAACTTTTTGACATACTAATGCCGTTCCAAGTTCGTAATTCGAGGTACCACTGTATTATGAACTGTAAGCAACCAGACCAACACAGCTACTCAGAAAAGCAACATGGTTGTCCATACATACTTTCAAAATAAATATGTTATAGAAGTACAATATGAGTTGCTGCTTAAGTAAAGATTAGTTAGATTATTGTAGAGCTAGGAACATTGCTTTTAAAATGAAATTAGTTACAGTTAGAATCCCAAGGCCCCCAAATTAGTTAATTCCTATTATAGTGTACATTTAAAAAAAAAAACCTGCCATCTTAGTTAAAAAGCATCAGAAGCACACATAGGTAATGAAACCATTCATTATTACTACAAATGTAATTAAAACTACTTATATTTTACCACTGCAGAAGCAGCAGTTATTCTTCATTACATTACAGTAAACTATAATTTAGTTTTAGTTACAAGGAGAAAATTAATTACAAGTAACTCATTATTTGTAAGTGCATGCTTCCAAATGTTGTGAAGAGTTTCTCATACACTATGAAGCATACATTTAGTTAGCAACACTAGAGTGTCTTCTACAAATTTTCTGTGCATTGTATGTTATCCAGTGCATTATATCTGGAAATATGTGCTGTCAGGAGTGGCTGTTTGAGAAAGCCAACAGACCAGGAACGATTCGGACATGCTCCCCGTTGAAAAAAGAAAGTTATGAAGAGATTTTACTATTGTTATGGAGAGATTTTCCAGTTGGTGTGGGACATGTTGATCCCATAGAGGTTGTTGTTGAGAAACCTAAGAGTTCTATTAATAAAGAGTTTATTATTAAAGAACCCTCTCTCTTGTCGTTTCCCGCCAAAATTAAGGAACTGTCAGACTCTGATGAGGAACCTGATCACACCTAACAAGAAAGAAGTCCAGTTGCCATGACTCAAATTCCAGATAACCTCACCTGGATGACTGAGAATCTTCACAGATACCAATGCATTATACATTAATAGACATGCTGGTACCCTGTAATACCCAAGATAGCAATTGTGTAGTTTTGAAATACCAAATTTTGCATTCTTCTTCTAAAAGAAAAATTAGGAATATTGTTCAGATTAGGAATATTGTTCAGATGGCAAATTACATATACATTTTCTATACGGTACCTATTATTGCAGGATAATGAACTGTTTCTGTTGTTTACATTTATTTCCCTACATTGCTGCTTGTATGGTATATGAAGTATTTTTAACAATATTGGTTGTTGATTAATGCATATTTCTTCCATTTTCTTATTTTTTTCAGTCCTAGTGGGTCTTTATTATTCTGTTTGGAGCAGGTTAAAACATACCTGCTGACTGATGGAACATGCAAGTGTGGTTTAGAATGTCCTCTTATCCTTCCCAAGGTATGAGATATCTCCATGTAAAACTGAATTATATTGAAATAAGTGTCTTCCAATCTCCGCCAAGAATCTGACATAAATTACAGCATTTCATAGCTTGCTTGCTTGCTTACCCATAGGGTACAATTTTAATAGTCATAATTCTGAAGCAAAGCAGTTTTTAAAGCAAAGTTATGTTATTTAATAGGCCAAGGACAGGCCAGGAGACTGTCCCTTTGATTATAAGATGTAACGTATCTCCATGTTCTGTAGTGAAGCTTGAAGGGGAAATTACCAGCTCTCCTGTCCTGTTGAGCATGACAGCAGAACTTTGCTTTAAATGAGATCTCCCAACTGTTATATGAGAAAGAGAGAGAAGTCCAGGCAATTGTATAGATAAGTAGCAGGATACAAGTTAAAAAACAAAAAAATATATTGCAAGAATTATGTAAAAAAAAATTATATTTGGAGCAGGTTAAAACATACCTGCTGACTGATGGAACATGCAAGTGTGGTTTAGAATGTCCTCTTATCCTTCCCAAGGTATGAGATATCTCCATGTAAAACTGAATTATATTGAAATAAGTGTCTTCCAATCTCCGCCAAGAATCTGACATAAATTACAGCATTTCATAGCTTGCTTGCTTGCTTGCTTACCCATAGGGTACAATTTTAATAGTCATAATTCTGAAGCAAAGCAGTTTTTAAAGCAAAGTTATGTTATTTAATAGGCCAAGGACAGGCCAGGAGACTGTCCCTTTGATTATAAGATGTAACGTATCTCCATGTTCTGTAGTGAAGCTTGAAGGGGAAATTACCAGCTCTCCTGTCCTGTTGAGCATGACAGCAGAACTTTGCTTTAAATGAGATCTCCCAACTGTTATATGAGAAAGAGAGAGAAGTCCAGGCAATTATATAGATAAGTAGCAGGATACAAGTTAAAAAACAAAAAAAATTGCAAGAATTATGTAAAAAAAAATTATATTCATCTTAATTTTAATAATAGTACAGTACTGTAATTCACGTGGATGGTAGTGGAAGAGAAATGTACAGTAGTTCTCTCTCATTCTCTCATTTTCTTTCTTTCAAAATGAGGAAAATGTTTTCCACCATTTTTCCAGGTCCTGTGTAATAAATGTGCCTCCGATGTTTATTGTGAATTTTAATGACCTATGATCATTTTCACTTTATTTTCTGTTTCCTCAAAAGTACCAGTTAAATAACCTGCAGGAAGCTTACAAGCATTTGAGTTTCCGCTGAAGCCTGTGTATTTTCTTGCTTGTGTTGTACCCTTATAATAACCAAAAAGCCTACATTTCTAACATCATGGTACTTGTGATGTTTTTAAGGTGTTTAATTTTGATCCTGGTGTTGCTGTGACGCAAAGAACAGCTGAAGATGTCAAGGCTGATGAAGATGTCACTAAGCTATGCATCCATAAACGGAAAATTATTGCCGTGGCTACACTTCATAAAAGTATGGAAGTGCCACATCCTTCACTGGTTCTAACTAGTCCAGGTGGGGGAACAAGTAAGTTGTGTTTCTCTATGTGCATGTTTTTAGAAGAATATAATGTAAGAAGTTAATCTGCAAAGGCATTTGTTGATAGAGTATCAAAATAGGGGCTGCATGTAAAACTTTTATGGCTTTTAACATATAAAAGCCATAAAATACATATAGTCCAGCTGGCAGAACTGTCCGAATTTCAGTTTCCACCGCACCCATGATTCCTAATACTGGTATCATATATCCTTGTGGGTTCATAGTCAGTACCAGGGCACATGTTTCGCATACAGAAGATCTCAAGTTCTCATTGGTATATACAGGATCCTAGGAAGCCGTTTTGGAAAAGACTATTAAGTGATACTGTGGGCTAATTTGACCAGTTGTCTGCCTCTAAACATTAAGGTGAACTTCTGGACAACAGGAGCTGTTTAGCAGTGGAATAGACTACCCTTGAAGATGGTGGACTCTTTCATTGGAGGTTTTAAGCTGAGGCTGGAAGGCCACCTGTCAGGAATGTCTTACCTATGGATTTCATGCTTCATCATTTCATGCTTCAACAAAATGGGCCACTGCAATAATTAATAGGTCTCTCCAGGAGGGCGAGGTTCCCCTTGCCCTCAAGGAGACACTCATTAGGCCCATTAGGAAGAAACCAAATTTGGTGGCGAATGACATTGGAAATTGTAGGCCCGTCACCAATATTTCCTTCCTTAGCAAAGTGGTGGAGAGGGTGGTGGCAGACCAGCTTCAGATGCTTCTGGACGAAACCAGTGACCTGGACCCGTTTCAGTCGGGCTTCAGGCTGCGCTATGGTACGGAAACGGCACTGGTCGCACTGTTGGATGACCTGTTGAGGGAGGCCGATGGGGGCAATATGTCCTTGTTGGTCCTCCTTGACATCTCTGCCGCCTTCAATATCGTTGACCACGGTATCCTCCTGGGGAGGCTCTCTGAGCTGGGAATTGGTGGCCTGGCATTTGCCTGGCTCCAATCCTTCTTGGAGGACTGTCCCCAGAGAATACAGCTTGGCGAGAATGTTTCAGCCCCATGGAGCCTCAGTTGTGGGGTTCCGCAGGGGTTGATCATCTCTCCAATGCTGTTTAATATCTACATGAGGCCGCTGGGTGGGGTCATCAGGGGGTGTGGGGTATCGTGTCATCAGTATGGTGATGACACACAACTCTACATCTTCCTTTCACCTACAGTGGATGCCGTTCCGTCCCTCCAGTGCTGCCTGGAGACTATACTGGAATGGATGCAGTTGAATGGGTTGAGGCTGAACCCGGACAAGACGGAGGTCTTGAGGGTGGGCTGTCCTTCCATCAGTGGTTTGGGTGACTCCCTTTCTTTTGGGGGGACGACCCTCACTGCAAAGAGCGAGGTTCGCAGCTTGGGGATACATCTGGACCCGGCGCTTACCATGGAAACCCAGGTAGTGTCCGTGGCCCATTCCGCCTATTTTCACCTATGGTGGATTGCCCAGCTGTGACCATATCTTGATGGGGGGG